GCTTTAATTTGTCCTGCATATTCGAGCAACTCTCAAATGCAATCTCCAACTGTGCAGGATTAACTGTAGCACTATCAATAAGCAAGAAATAAATTCATTTCATAGGAATTATATATCTTTTCATGTTATATTCTTTTTTATGCATATTTTTTTTTTTGAATAGACTGAAAAAGTTCGAAACCAGTTCTATTACTTTTTCTTTTAAGTACGAAAATACGAATTGAATTAAATTACATAACACCAGAGGAGGGTCTACCGTCATCAAAAGATGTGGTGGGTAGTAATGATTGAAGTTTTATATGTTTTCTGTGTATCCATTTGCTATATTGATGAGAATGGGTTAAAGACACCGATGGTAACTGAATTGCTATAGAAATTTTCTGTTGGTCACTAACTTCATTTTTCAAATTAATCACCGACCTTAACATTGTTTCAATTTAGTCACTGGATTTAAACATTTGTTACAATTTAGCATTCCATCTTATATGTCTGTTACTTTGACTAACTAAAAACGTGGTGTGGCAATCTATTTGCCTACTAAATGGAATGACCAAAATCTAATGAAGTGCAAGTTTAGTGACCAATTTGATCATATATGAAATTTTGCAAAAAGTTTAGTGACCACAAGCATATATAGCCCTTGTTTGGGCCATATTTTTTTTGTTCAATTAGATGAACATGGACCGTTACACAGTAAGAGGATGTCAATACTGTTACATGGTTGACATATTGCAGGCTATTCATTGTCCATTTTCGTACTTGCTCCAAGACATTTGTCAATTCTACCCTTATCCCCAATCTTCAATAATTGTGATGGTTCAGTTTTCAAAGGGGCAAAAAATGGAATGAAGGAATAGAAGTCAAAGCAATTGCAGAATCTCACGTTGGTGACCTATTCATGATTTGACAGAAATTATGTACAACGGTCCATTTTCATCTAATTGAACCAAAAAAATATGGCCCAAACAGGGTCATAACCAAGTTGAGACCTATGCTACCAATGACACACATGTGACATCTCTTTATCCTGCAGCAAAATGATTCTGAAAGGAACAAGGTGTCATTATTCTTTATAGTGTCGTAGTACATGTAAATTCCTAGACTTTCAAATTTTTTTGCCTTTTATGAGTTCTGTATCTTTAATGCCAATTGTTAAAAGTTTTCCTAATCTGAGGCTGCTTAGATAATTAAATTATCTCACTTGTATGATTACTAATGCTGCTGCCCTACTACTTTAATCACTGTTTGAAATGGAGAGATGCATCATTCTCTAGTAACACTTGAAATGAAAACATGATGTACAGATAAAGTTGACCGATTTTTTTAAATTTTTTCTAGTAAGAATGTGTTCAATTGGAGCTATTTTGGCCTGGTTAATATTTGACCATTTTCTCAAGTGGGACGACTTTGTGACATATTTTTTGAGTGTTCTGTCACTTTTTAAACATTTTCTTATTTTTTTTGAGTGTTTGTTACCTTTTTTTTAAAATTTGTCACTTTTTTGGAGTTTCTGTCACTTTTTTGAGTAATAAACGTAACTTTTTAATAGAAGTGACATAATGAAAAAGTAACGCTCAACTTTAAAAGTTGAAGTTTAGTATTTAGTGGGTAGACTATGTTCTTGTTAATACTGAACTTGACAATTTTCTCAATTGGGTAGGTCGTGTCACTTTTTAATAAAGAAAGTGGCACTGTTACTTTTTTTTGTCACTTTTTCATAGTTTGACTTTTTAAAAAATTGTCATTTTTTATGTGTTTGTAACTTTTTTTGAATTTATTTAAATTTTTTAGTATTTGTTACTTTTTTAGTATTTATTACTTCTTTTGAATGTTTATCACTTTTTTGAGTGATAAATATCAATTTTTAATAAAAGTGACATTGTAAAAGTAACATACTTAACTTTTTAAAAAGTGAAATTGTATTAAAAAGTGACACTTAACTTTATAAAGTATTTTTTACTTTTAAAATACTTTTTATATGATTTTTCAAAAGATATCTCATTTTAGGGGCATTTTTGTAAGTTGCCCCATCCAAATTATGGGTCGGGTTATTGAATTTGGGGGGGCTTTCATTATCGTTAGCATGCTGGGTTACATTTTTTAGATTTGGGCCGAAGGATTGGGGTTGGAGGGATTGTGTTTGGACTGACGGTTGATTAGTTGTAATGGGTTGGATGGGTTCTTGATGGTGGATTGTTGAGTTGTTCGTGGGTTTCAGAGATGGGTTGGGCTTGAATTCGGCCAATAGTTTGGATTGTGTGGTATAATTGGGATTGGGAAAATTTTATAAATAAGAGGTTGAGTATCACAAATTTCAAAATTAAAAACAAATATTTTAAATTTCAAAAATTATATGCTAATCAAAATTAATTAATTAAATATATTAAGGTCACAAATCTATATAATTTGATCAGAAATTAACGATTTAATTAGTCACATATCATAAATCAAAAATTTTATATGTCATAAAATTATTTTACGGTCACAATTAAAAATTTTTTAGGTCACACAATATTTCTTAATCACAATTTACATTGGTCACATATTGTTTATTGCTCATAGAATTTAATGGTCACAATCAACTAAATAATTTGTGACCACAACCAACACTTGTGACCATCACTCTTTCCAACAGCACCATCGCCACGCTGCCAGAACCACTACCACCACCTCAAACAAATCAACACATCGTAGAAAAATACCTCCACATTGTCACGTCGTTCCACAACCACCTCGACAGACCCATTGCTACCATCACTGTTGTCGTCACCAACAAAACTACGTCTACTATTAATCTACAGCTATAGTAACAACCCCAGTCACCGAAAAATACCAACTACAACCATGACCTGCAAACCGCCACCACAGAACTTGCAACCCACCATCGCAGCGCATAAATCTGGGCATCGTGACGGTGCTTCCATAGTAGCACCACAAAGATCGGCCCAAATTAGAACAAATACAATTGAAACACAAACTTCATTATTCAACCAACACATCCACAACAGCGTCACCGGAAAACAAGAGCTGTAACTATGACACCCAAGGCGCCAGCGTAGCACCTGCAGCCCGCAACGCCAGCAACTTAATCTGACACCGTCACAACCTCACCACTAAGCATACGTCACAGCTCCATCTGCAGGCCACTGCACATGGACACGGTGTAGCGACATCGCAGTGGTTTTCGTGTAATGTTCGTCGGAGTAAATGGGGAGAGAGCATGAGGTGAGGCAACACAGTAGTGTCTCCCGTAGCAACCTATGATGGCGGCAGTGGTATCAGGTTGCTTCGTGCAGCTTTACTCCAACGGCTTCGAGAAGCTTCATTCCGATGCTCTCATGTTGCTATGCGACGGAGAAAGGGTAAGAGGTGAGAATAGTTAGAGAGAAGTGATGTGTAGTGCTAGCGAGGTAGTACGGTGGCGAATGGCTAGAGAAAAGGTGGGATAGAGAGAAAATGGAGAGAATGAAATAATTAGGATTTTGGTGTGTATGGTTGGGTAAAATGAATATGTATATTTAATTTTGTAATTCCGAATTTATCAACTTTTGCTTATTTTCTTCGATCTCACCTACTTACATCATAACATCAAAATCACACATCTAATTACTCTCTCTCTCTAAAATCAACCAAACTTCTAATAAATTATAAACCTTTTCACAAATTAAAACAAATCTAAATAAATATAATTTAAATTAAACTCTACTATAAATCCGATTTTAATGTAACTCTATCTCCTCCACATACCTTACTTGATACCAACAGATATGGTAGATGTGTTTGGGCTAGATTTAGTGGTCAAATCTTCCCTTGTTGAAGGTATCTCTTTGGCCACTGGGCCTTCTTATCAAATATAACGAACCAATGAAATCATATTCCCAAAAGTTGTTGCTTGACCAAACGAAGAGCTTCGATTTCCTTTTCGACTCTCCTCTTATAAATAGTAGTAGAGGTTGACTCGTCTTTTCTTGCATTGGTCTGTATACACAACGTATTTGCACACGTTGTCCTTTTGCTATCAAACATCACGCTCTCAATTGTAGCCTTTTTTAGCCTAAGACAGTGAATTTTTGCTTGATGGTAAGAGCAAAATTTTCAACTGTTTTTATGGGACTACACCCTAAAATTTAGTTAATCACTTAAAAAAATGCCATTGATTTTTTTTTGCAGCTTCTAAAGTTTGATGTGATATACATTTTTTAGCAAGATAACTAGCTCACATTCTATGTAGAATCAAATAATCACTTGTTTAGTGAAATTTCATTTGGGGTTCATTCAACTTTAATTTGTTTTGATTAGGTATTGAACACCAATTTAGTTTCAAATTTCACTACCTTTCGTATTTTGTCACCCATTCCTTGAACTGACGGAAATTGCTTATTTGACAATCATGCCATAGATGATCTTCCACTTAATCGTTACATGTCACCCTAAAAAATGATACAACGAGGATTACTGCAATATCTTTAGATTAAAATACTAAAAAAGTTTCATTTTAACATTTTTATAATGTAGGGTAGTCATAAATTGGCATGCCTTGCAAACATAATACGATGTGGTATGGCTATCAATTTGGAAAAAAACACAGATAGAATGGTAAAATTTGAAACTAAACTGAAGTTGAGTAATCCAGTTTGAAACTACATTGGATTTTTGGGACAAATTAAGTTCAATGACAAAATTGAGATTTCGCTGAAAGTTCAGTGAGTGCAAGTGATATTTACCCACGAGACGTGCAATTTATTGAAACATGTGTTGTGTTATTCCTTGAGCGGGTGGGTTCGGGCATAAACACTTTATGCAAATATATGAAACTCCCCGTCTCACTCTGTACAACTATTCTACCAATTATATATCTCTCTTTTCCACCCGCAAAATAACTTGCTTACTCTCCTTATTTCGAATATAAACATAAATCTTGATCCTTAATGGCTTCCAGTGGCGTATTTTTCTTTCTTGTGTTGACACTTTGTGCGTACAATTCTTGCCAAGCAAAAGCAATGATATCAAGGCAGTCGCAGTCGCAGTCGCAGTTCTTAACTCTCATGAAGAAATCACTCTCAGCCAGCTACGAAATCCCTGTTTGCAATTATACTGGGATTTCTTGTGATGATCAAGAAAACATTGTGCAAATTGATATCTCTGGGTGGTCAGTTTCTGGTAAGTTTCCTACACAAGTATGCTCATATTTACCAAAACTGCGAGTTCTCCGGGTTGGCCACAACTTGTTCCATGGGGAGTTTAGTCGAGATATCCTCAACTGCTCTCTCTTGGAAGAGCTGAACATTACATATGCTCATCTCACTGGAACATTGCCAGATTTGTCTCCTTTAAAATCTTTGAGATTACTTGACCTTTCATACAACTCGTTCTCTGGTAAGTTCCCTTTGTCTGTTACCAATCTTACCAATCTGGAAGTTTTAAATTTTAATGAAAATAGTGGTTTCGACTTATGGCAATTGCCAGAGAATATATCCCGGCTCACAAATCTTAAGTCCATGATCTTGTCAACATGTAAGTTGCGTGGCAAAATTTCACCCTTCATAGGAAACATGGCGTCTCTGATAGATCTAGAATTAAGTGGAAATTATCTGACTGGAAGGATTCCGGCAGAACTTGGATTGCTGAACAACTTGCAACAGCTTGAGCTTTACTATAACCAACTCGAAGGTGAAATACCTCAAGAGCTCGGGAATCTGACTCAACTAAGAGACTTGGACATATCTGTCAACAAGTTGAGGGGCAAAATTCCGGAGTCCTTATGCCAACTTCCAAAGATTGAAGCATTGCAGCTTTACAACAATAGTCTCACAGGGGAAATTCCTGCAGTTTTGGCAAATTCGACCACCCTTAACACGTTATCTCTTTATGACAATTTATTGACAGGGGAAGTCCCTCAAAATCTCGGAAGTTCATCAGTCATGATTGGATTGGACTTGTCGGAAAATCAGTTATCTGGGAAGTTACCTGGAGGGTTATGTGACGGTGGAAAATTGTTATATCTCCTAGTCCTTCAGAATTTGTTTTCTGGTGAAGTGCCCCCAAGTTATGCAAAATGTGAGTCTCTTATTCGATTTCGGGTTAGTAACAACAATTTGGTTGGGGAAATACCACAAGGGATTCTAGCTCTTCCACATGCTTCAATCATTGATGTGGGATATAATCATTTGAGTGGTTCTATTCCGATTACCATTTCGAATGCTAAAAACTTGTCGGAGTTGTTCATGCAGAGCAACAGGATTTTTGGTGTTATACCTTCTGAAATCTCTTTGGGCATGAATCTAGTCAAAATTGATCTCAGCAACAATCTTTTGTCTGGTTCCATACCGTCCGAGATTGGAAACTTGAGAAGACTCAATTTGTTGCTATTACAAGGTAACAAGTTAAATTCTTCCATCCCTGACTCACTTTCTTCACTCAAGTCCCTCAATGTTCTTGATCTCTCTAGTAATCTCTTGACGGGAAATATCCCAGAAAGCCTTTGTAATTTGTTACCTAATTCGTTCAACTTTTCAAACAATCTGCTTTCTGGTCCTATTCCTGTCTCATTCATAAAGGGAGGACTGCTAGGAAGTTTTTCAGGCAATCCAAGCCTATGTGTACCTTCCTATCTAAAATCATCAGACCCAAAATTCTCCCTTTGCTCGAATTCTTATGACCAGAAGAAAATAAACTATATCTGGGTGATAGGAATTTCCTTGGGTATCATTTTTGTTGGAATTTTCCTCTTTATGAAGAGATGGTTTAGCAAAGAGAGGGCAATGATACAAAATGAGGATATATTATCAAATTCAATTTTCTCATATGATGTTAAAAGTTTCCATCGGTTAAATTTTGATCAGTGCGAGATAATTGAATCCATGCTTGATAAAAATATTTTGGGTTATGGAGGATCTGGGACAGTGTACAAAATCGAGTTGAAAAACCGGGAAGTTGTAGCTGTAAAGAAGCTGTGGAGTCGAAAAGGTAAAAATACTGCATCAGAAGATCAACTGATAATGGACAAGGAACTGAAAACTGAAGTCGAGACTCTTGGAAGCATAAGGCACAACAACATTGTGAAGTTGTACAGCTACTTCTCCAGTTTAGACTGCAGTTTGCTGGTTTACGAGTACATGCCAAATGGAAATCTTTGGGATGCAATCCATGGAGGGAAAGTCCTTTTGAACTGGCCTGCTCGACATAAAATTGCCCTCGGAATTGCTCAGGGTTTGGAATACCTCCACCATGATTTAGTTACACCAATTATTCATAGGGACATCAAGTCCACCAATATCCTATTGGATGTCAATTACCAGCCAAAAGTTGCAGATTTCGGAATTGCCAAGGTGTTGCAAGCAAGAGGAAGCAAGGATTCCACAACGACTGTAATAGCAGGAACTTATGGTTACTTGGCACCAGGTAACGATTTCCCTGATGCACTACTACGCTATTCATTTAGCTAGTTCATGTCTCTTACTACTAATTCATCCTTACGTTTTAATTGATCTTATTTATCTTTGTGATAGAGTATGCTTATTCTTCCAAAGCAACCACAAAGTGTGATGTCTATAGTTATGGAGTTGTATTAATGGAACTAATAGCTGGGAAGAAGCCGGTGGAGGCAGAGTATGGGGAAAACAAGAATATCATAGACTGGATTTCAAGCAAGGTGGACAGAAAGGAAGGAGCCATGGAGGTCTTAGATAAAAGAGTATCGGAATCATTCGAGGAAGAAATGATCAAGGTGCTTCGCATTGCCATACGTTGTACATGTAGGACACCAACAGTCCGCCCCACGATGAACCAAGCTGTTCAATTTTTGATTAAGGCAGATCCTTGCAGATTCGATTGCTACAAGTCCTTGAAGAATCCACAGCATTTGTGATTAATAAAAAATTATCCAAGTTAGCATCAAACACGACTTGTTCCTATAACTTGAGGAACTATTTTCCCTCTAGATGAATAGATTCTGTCCCACCTATCTTTTTCATTTTTCTTGGCATGTTGTAAATAATTGAGAAATTTTATTAGTGAGTGCTTTATCAGAAAGCCAGCATCCATATTCGTAAAGGAAAAAAAATTCTCTAGCTTTTAAAAGGACTTTGTTTGTATCCTCTTTTACTTTGATGAGAAGAATCCAATCAAATGAAGATTTCAATTAAAAAGAAAGTGGGTTTCTGATTCTGCATTTAGAATTGACGTATTATTTGTGGAGGGTCCTATTCTATAGAGTGGAAAAGGAAAATGGATAAGCCCTTCTTTATATTTCAATCTATTTATACTTTTTTGTAGTTTGATCTGACTGTAGTGTTAGACCACAACTGTAGGGACAGGAACCAAGCTTGTTTCGCCATTGATGGTGTTCGATTTGTAGCCCTGATTGGCCCACCCGCTCCAGCCTCGCCCCAAATTCATCTACTTAAATACTACAAAATTTAGGCACATTCTAAGGGGGAAAAATTTAAAAATAAAAATAAATTGGACGTGTACCATGTAGAGTTGGAGATAAAGTTATTAGTTAATGAGATTTTAAAATTATTTCCAAAACAAATCAAAAAAAAAAAAAAAGGAGTACAAAATGTTAATAAGAAACACACGATATGTGTGTATCTGTCAATATGGACTTTGCCAAGTGGAGAGGGAGTCATCTCAAAAGAATGGGATTCATCAAGACAAATATTTCTTTTGGCACGGTGGAGAATCCATGAATAAAAAGTAAGATCACATATTCATCAATAGATCAAGGGATTAGTTCTTCAGAAACAAAAGACAAAATAAGATAATTTTCAAACCTTTTACGATTCTGTACCCATAGGGGATTATGAGATCACATATTCATCAATAGATCAAGGGATTAGTTCTTCAGAAACAAAAGACAAAATAACTATTAAAAGTTTGGAAAATGCTAATTGTACCCATAGGGGATTATGGACACCCCTATGGGTACAATTATGTACCCATCAGCCGTAAAAGTTTTATCTAGAGGTGACAATTTTTTTCGCCTTACTCCTCACTCTTTTCAAACTCATTTTTCCTCAAACTCATTTTCAACTACATATTTTTTCAATAAAATAATTTTAAACGTAAATCCAATTTTTTTCTACTTTTTAATCACACATTCTCTAAAAAAATTACTATTCTAAAATCTATTTTTTCCAAAATAGTGGAGCTCAAACAAGCTATTCGTCCCCGTTTGAACTCCATTTTTCCAAATTATATTGAGGGAAATAGTAATTTTTTTTGAGAATGTGTGGTTAAAAGAAAAGGAAAATTATTTTAGGTTTACGTGTAATATTATTTTATTAGAGAATATGTGGTTGATAAGAAGATAGAGAAACATGAATTTTAATTTAATGGTGGTCAAACGGGAGCTAAGAGAGATTTCGTCACAAAAATGTTTTACAACAATAAAAAAAACTTAGTTTCACCATGAGTGAAGCGAAATTGAGATGTTTGAGTAAATCTTTGTTTTCAAATTTCACTTTAATTGCAGGACAAATCGCAGAAGCAGTTCTAATCTAAGACACTCGAGCAGGAGCTTCTACGCGGATTAGACACCCACATAGCCTACCAGGTTCCCAGTTCCGTCCGGGGGCTTTGTCTGCTGTCTTGCTCTGAGTAGAGTAGGGTCGGCCAACATGCTAGGCATTGGAAAAGGACACCTTCTTCCATAATTTCGTTATTATTAATTGGAGAAAACAATAATTAGGGAAAATTATAGCCACGGTACCAAACCTTTCACATTTTTGCAGATTTTGCCCAAATCTTTGATTTACCAAACCTTTAAACAATTCGCACCCGAAGTCCAAATTGACAGAAACCATTAGTTTGACCGTCAATTGACCAAAAATTTAAAATCTGACCAATTGTTGACTAATTTTTAAAGGGCAAAATGATAACTTTCCCTTTTTCATATATAATTAAAACTAAAATCAAAAATCAAAACCCATGTCACCTTCTCCAACTACCCCCAACCCACCCCACCCCCACCCAACCCAAAATCAAACTGTCGGCACCACCACACCAGCACACCCACCTCCTCCCACCACGACGACCTCAGTTGCAATTTTCCCTAAATTAATTCACGTCACCACTCCCACCCCAACTCAATTTCATCCAAACACTAAAAGCCACATTCAGTCACGATAAATTTGATTACTAATCCACCACCCCACGTGATGAACGTTCAAGAAGACCTCTAGTATCTGTTTCTCTTCAGAAGTCCCAACTCAGGAGGCGAAATAGAGATGGAATTTGTAACGAGTGGTTGCGCATTTCTTTTCACCAAGAATTTCAACCATTCAGAAAAATCTGTGGGATATTGGAGTTGTCGTAGCTTTACTGAACAACGGTAATTGGGGAAAATTGTGGGTGATGGTGATAGAGGCGGACTAAAGGAGTGGTCGTATGAGCTGTTTGTGTGGTTGGGAAAAATACGGAGCAGTGGTTGGAGAAGAGCAGAGATCGAGTGTGAATCTGGAGTTGGGAGATGAAATGGTGACGGGGATGATCGACGAAGGATGTGTTTGTTTGGGTGGTGTGTGGAGTTTGAGGCGGCTGTTGAGGCGACGGTAGGCTGGTGACGGTGGCGGATGGCAACTAGTGGCCTTAGGTAAGGTCAACGATGGGGGGTGGGGAAGAAGGAGATTGATTTTTGTTTTTTTTAAAATTATATATGAAAAAAGGAAAAATTACCATTTTGCCCTTTAAGAATTAGTCAACAATTGGTTAGATTGTTAATTTTTGGTCAATTGACGGTCAAACTAACGGTTTCTGTCAAATTGAACTTCGGGCGCGAATTGTTTAAAAGTTTGGTATCGTGGGTGACACAAATCAAATGTTTGAGCAAAGTTTGCAAAAATGTGAAAGGTTTGGTACCGTAATTGCAATTTTCCCCAATAATTATTCTATTTTGCACCAGAAGAAACACAACTAAATCATTCTCTATGTAGTATTTGTCCCTCTACTATCCTAAAACTCCCTAAATGCTTACAACTTTCTCTCTCTAAATGCAAGGGATTTTTTTTTCTTCTTTTTTATAGACTACATTTATTGTAAAATTGATTACTGTGTTTAACTCATGCATTTTATACCATTTTAACTTGATAATTTGTTAGATCCTATGAGTTTTAGAACATTTTGATGTTTGTATTAATGTTGTTTTATAGGATTAGGTGATGTGGTGAAAAGGGGTAAAAATGAAATTTTAATATACAAATGGAGCGCTTAGGCGCCACAACCCAGTGCCTAAGTGTCACTTGAAGAGCAAAAGAAGAAAACAAAGCAGCAAGTTGTCACCCACATTTGGTAGAAGAAACAAGAAGTTAGCACCCATGCGCTAGCCAGAAAACACATCACAGCACCTAAGCGTTGCACCACGTTCAATTAGGGTTTTCTTTTGTGTACTGATCCGTTTTAAAAGTCAAATTCTGTAAGTATTATACCCTAATTCCAATCGATTTAGGTCGTAAACATTTAATCTGATTAATGCATTTTATTTATGGTAGATTTACTATTTAATTGAATTAATATTCTATTAATTTAAATAATAGATTCTATAGACTCAAGTCTTATTAATTTGTTAATCACAAGAAACTGTGATTGTGAGATATAAATTACATATGACTGAATTTTAAATTATTCGTGATCATAAGTAATAACGAGATATGGATATTGTTTAACATTTGAATGAACACGTGAACATTTTGTTTGAAAAACAAAACATTTGAGATCCGATGAAGGGATTCCACATAGATAACTATTTAAGTGTTAGTGTTCAATTTTTAACGTTCGATGGTGGATTGGTCATTTGACTTGAATTCATCATATTGCCTTAAATGGGGACAGTCATACTTTTGTTATGTTAGACTTCTACCAAGATTCGCTAATACAGTATCTTTCGGGCAGTCAACAATCATATGAATCACTCTTAAATACTAAGAGATTATGATCTACATTTCATTCAGTTGAGTTAACAACGAAATTCTTGGCCAATGTGTACTCATAAGTCGAAAAGAGTTTTCGACTTACATTGACTTAACAGTGGGATGAATGATATGATCGATAATCGAGATTAACACGGTCATATTGATGAACGTATTATAGTTTCACGATAAACAAAAAAGTTTGTTTTGTCATACTACATGACATTTTTCATCACATGTATTGCCCTAATACATGTTAGGCGCTCATTTTACTCCCATTATTTCACATTATAATGAGATGAATGGTAATTTTTTGAAGAATGCATGGTTAAAAAAGAAGGAAACGTTTTTGGTTTTACGTATAATACTATTTTTATTGAAAAATGTGTAGTTAATAAGAAGAGAGAGAAAATAAAATATAATTTAATGGAGGATAATGGGGGCCAAACAGGGGCTAGATATCAATTTGGGACGATAGATATAAATTGTCGATAAATTAAAAAGGGGTATTTAATTTATCGATTCTGATTAGATTAAAATAATAATTCACATCTTTAAGTATCATGATCGGGAATCTAATGAGTCACACAAAAAAGGAAAATTATAAGAATGAATATTACTAATTAATTAATTGTACGAGTGTTGGACACTTGTACAATTAATTAGTTACTTATTAATGGATCAAATTAATTAATTAGATTAATTAATGGATAAATTTTAATTAATTAGATAAATTAAATATTGGACTGAGTTAAGTTCAAATATCAGGCCAAACCCACTTGGCTCCTTAATCCCGTAACCTATTATTCATTTCATCATCGAACCTTTTATAATATAATCTTGGGATGTTTGAGTCAGTGAAAGAGATGATTTAGGCTTGTGGTGGTGATTTCATGCATGAAAAATAGTTGTGTAGAGAGTGTCTTTAACTATCAAATGTAAACTAGGTAATAATCGTATG